AGGCTGAAGCTCCTGATGCAGCACGGGGAGGTGAGAGGTGACCTCTGCACGACTGGGAATGCTCGGGAATCACCCAGGATCGTCATCATGGCCAAAAGGGAAAGGTTTCACCTGCTGGGGGATGGATGGATGATGGATGGATGGATGGATGGATGGATGGATGGATGGATGGATGATGGATGGATGGATGGATGATGATGGATGGATGGATGGATGGATGGATGATGGATGGATGATGGATGGATGATGGATGGATGGATGGATGGATGGATGATGGATGGATGGATGGATGGATGATGGATGGATGGATGGATGATGGATGGAAGGATGGATGATGGATGGAGGGAGGGATGGATGGATGATGGATGGATGATGGATGATGGATGGATGGATGGATGGATGGATGGATGGACCCATGGATGGATCCATGGATGGATGGATGGGTGGAAGGATAGATGGGGAAGATCTTTCTCCAGGCAGTGAGAGCAGAGAATGCCTCGGGAAGGTGAATCCCATCCCTGCAGAGTGGAGAACAGCAGCTGGGAGCCCCTTCCCATCCTGGCTGCTGCAGAAACCCCTCAGCTCCTCTGTCCTGGCTCCACATCCACCCCGGGCAGGGCAGCACCTCCAGATCCAGCTCCGTTCCCTTCCAGGTGACTCCTGTGGCAGGACCCGGCTCTGCTCAGTGAGTTCCTGGCCCTGCCCTCTTGTCTTTGCTCCCTTGGCCAGCTCAGGGCCAGCAGGGCCACCAGGAGCCGTGCTCCATGTCCCCAGGGTGTCCTGGCGTATCCACAGCCCCTCCTTGTGCCAGGCCAGCGCTGTCCCCGCTGCTGCCATGGTCTGGCGGTGACAATCGGCTCTGGATTGGTCCCTCAGGATTGGGAATGGTCCCTCGGAGAAGTGAACATCGCCCGTGCCCGTGCGTTTACGTTTTCCAAAGGTCCCAGGCTGGCTGGAATTCCATCCTGCTCCCGCTTAGCGGCGATCCGGCCCGTCCAGCCCTGCTGTGGGAAGCCACCGCTGAGAAGGGAGGGTAGGGCTGGGCTGGGGAAATTTGCTGTCCCTTGAAGAAATGTTTTTCTGCTTTTCGTCCGTCTTTGCGGTTGGTTTGTTGGTTTGTTTCTTTAAACAAGTCCTTATATTTGGTCCATAGGTCTTCTGTGGTCCCGATTTCCATCACCCTTAACGCTCAGCTTGGTTATTCCTTCCTATACAACATTCACCAAATTTACAGCAACGGAAAGAAAAGGAAACAAAATGAAAAGTTTCTTTTTTTTTTTCCTTTTTTTTTTTTCTTTACAGAGCCTAAGGAATGGAAAGTTCTGGAGTGTGAGGGAATGGCATGGCCAGGTTTGGAGGGAGGGCTGGGGGCCGATAAATGCACCCAAGCCGTTGTCTCTGGCCACAGGAGGAGTCAGGCCCCACGGGCCGGACTCGCCTCTGGAATGCTCTGGAGGAGCCGGATTCCGGGAGAGCTCCCCCTTCTCTCCCATCTCCTGGGCAGCTGGGGTGGATCGGGTCAGGAAGGATCCCTGGAAGCCGGTGGGGTTCTCCAGAGGTCTCTCTGCTGCCGGGGGTCTCAGTAGGCCTGGCCCGTCTCCACCGGCAGCAGCCCCAGCACGGCCGAGTGCTCGCCCAGCTTCATGCGGCGCTGCGTGGACAGGCTGACGTTCTTGGCCAGGTAATCCACGGCGGCTGCAGTGGAAAAGGGACAGTCAGGACATGGGGACAGCCGGGGAGCAGGACTGCCAGCCCTGCAGGGACAGCCCAGGGCTGGCACGCACGCCAGGGAGCTGTTTGAAGGGTTCAGAGATGGGATGGGTCTGTCACACACACCAGGGAACTCCCAGGAAGGGTTCAGAACCAGGATGGAACTGTCACACACACCCAGGACCTGCTGGAAGAGTTCAGAATCAGGATGGGGCTGGCATACACTCCAGGGAACTCCTGGGAAGGACTCTGAATCGGGATGGGGCTGTCAAACACACCCAGGACCTGCTGGAAGGGCTCAGAACCAGGATGGGGCTGTCACACACACGAAGGATCTCCCAGGAAGGGTTCAGAACCAGGATGGAGCCACCAGAAGCAGGACAAGCCCTGCTGGAGCTCAGCACAACCCAGGGGAGGGGAAGCCCTTGACTCTGCCCTCGAACACCTGAAAAGAGCTGAAATTCTGCCATGGAAAACGGGAGTTCTGAGGGAGCCGAGCCTCAAGTTTTGGGATAAACCTTCCAGGCCCTCGGTGATGCTGCTGGAAGCGATTCCAGAGGTTTCAGTGGGAGCTCCCCATGTCTGGGATCTGCCTCTCCTGCTGATGACTCCCAGCTTCGAGCTCTGCCTGCCTCCCTTCACCCCACGGAAAACCTCTTCCCTTGCCGATGGAGCTGGAGAACAGCTCCATCCCTGGAGGGGACAGGAGGTCCCAGCTCCTGTGGCTGCCCCGGGCTGAGCGGGGACCGGGCTGGGACAGGATGACACCGCTCATTAGCCGGGCTTCACTCAAAGCGCCCCTCGCCGCCTCTAATGGCCCCAATTAGATTAATCAGGAGCTGGCAGGAGCTGCCCGATCGCTGCCAATGAGTAAACAAATCTCAGCCATCAACGTCCTGTCAGCGGCGGGCCCCAGAGGAGCCCCTTCCACGCACCAATCCTGATTAGACTTGGCAGATCCATTAGAATTCCCTTCACGCTCCCGCGTTCCATCACCGGCATCATTAACGCGGCCCCGGCCTCTGGGAGCCCTCCGGGAAGGATGGAGCGCCTCTGGAAGCGCCTCTGGAAGCGCCTCTGGAAGCGCCTCTGGAAGCGCCTCTGGAAGCGGGAGGGATCCCGGGATAAGCCAGCGGGAATGCTGATCCAGAACTTTCCTGGGGGATGAGCAGTTGGAGCCCACAAAATCCTGGGATTGTTGTGGAGGTTGGAAAAGCCCCCCTGGGATCATCGGGTCCTGCCCTTAATCCATCGCTGCCCATGGGCAGAGCCTGTTCTCCGAGCACTGGATCCATTTTTGGGGACAATTCCAGGGATGCCATCTCCCTGGTGCCTGAGCACCTTTTCCCTGCAGGAATTTCCTCCCTCGGTGGAGGAAATTTTATTTTCTTGTGTTTGAGGCCGTTTCCTTTTGTCCCCTCCCTCGTTCCCTGGGAGCAGAGCCCGACATCCCCCAGCTCCAACCTCCTGCCAGGTTGGGAATTCGATGGCAATCCCATCCTCCCCCCTGAAAAAAACCCAAAATATTCCTTTTTGTGCCGGTGGGAGGAGCCCGGAGGCACCAGGGGATCCCAGGCCAGGAATCAGGGATGGGGTGTGTTGGTTTAGCGGGGCTGAAGCCAAAATAAACCCAGAAGTTTACGGAAGGTGCTCTGGGTGTTTGTTTGTTTGAGTGAGAGGGAAAGCGAGGCTGGGTTTGTTTTTGTAAAACCGGGAATGAGGAGAAGTGGGAGGAGAGGGATTCTCTGCAGGCCACCAAAGCCATGGAGCTGATTCCCAAATCCTGGCTTTGTCCCCTGTCCCACCAAGCCTGCCTCAACCCCAAAACCCCGCCCCCAAACTCCATTAATTATTAATTAATTATCATTAATATTAATTACATGATGTATCACACATAGCGTTACGTCATAGATAATCCAAACTAGACTTTGTATTATGTAATTAATATATTTTTAATCACCCAAAAAAGGGTTTTGGCACTTTTGTGCCGCATCAGAGAACATCTGATCTGAACAAACCGGGGGTCACCTCACGCTGACGGGAGCTTGAACGGAATTTGAAGGGAAGAAGCCAAAGGGAATTGGAATTGCAAAGCACAACGGGGAAAGGAAAAAAAAATATCATTATTCCAAGGTCAACTGCGCGTGAGGCCAGCACTAATTACCAAGGCAAACCGCGGAGAGCTCGTCACCAACGGGGTGACAGAAATCGGGATCGGGGGGCCCAGGAAACAACTCCTGTGCCAGCAAAAATTCCTGCAGCAGAGCCAGACAAACCCTCCTTTCTCCTTCCCCCTCTCTGCCCAGCGCTGCTCGCCCCCTTATTTTATTTTTTTACACACATGGGTGTGACTAACGCCTCGCCCAAGGGAATCTTTATTGGAAATACATGGTATCGGAATTTGTTTAAGATTTTTATCAATAGCACGTGTGTCCAGCCCCGCATCCAGAAGCGAGGGGAAGGTCGAGGGGTCACAGATCAAACTCCCGACAAACAAAAAGAGGAGGGGCGGGGGGGCCGCTATTGATCCCGTCTGCCGCCACAGCCGGTTCTCATTGAGGCCGCGGCGTTAAGGACATTAAAGGGCTGTGACGAGGGCCCGGGAGCCGCGGCCGAGGGAGGAAAGGTCACCGAGGACACGCTGCGGGCAGCGGGAGCGCGCCCGCAGGAAGAGGATGCACCTTTAACCCTCGCGGGGTCAGCGGAGCGCCGAGCGGGCTCGGCCCGGGGGAACGCGGCAGGTGAGAACAGCCCCGGCACTGAGGGCTGGCTCTGGTATCCCCGAACCGGGCTGGTCCAGGTACCCCCGAACCGGGCTGGTTCTGGTACCCCGAACTGGGCTGGTCCTGTCACCCAGCCTGGACAGCTCCCCCTGATTGGGCTGTCCCTGTCACCCAGTGGGGACAACAACCCGGGCCAAGCTGTCCCTGTCCAAGGGACAAGCTCAGCATCCCAATCCCGGCTCTCAGGACAGGCTCAGCATCCCAATCCCGGCTCCCAGAACAGGCTCAGCATCCCAATCCTGGCTCCCAGGACAGGCTCAGCATCCCAATCCTGGCTCTCAGGACAGGCTCAGCATCCCAATCCCGGCTCCCAGAACAGGCTCAGCATCCCAATCCTGGCTCTCAGGACAGGCTCAGCATCCCAATCCTGGCTCTCAGGACGGGCTCAGCACCCCAATCCCGGCTCTCCCAGAGCCCCAGCCCAGCTGACAGCCTCATTCTGTAGGAAAAGCTCTGAGCCCTGGCCTGGGGAGGGCAGGGCAGGCAGGGATGCTCTAAGCTCGGCTTTACAAATCCCAGCTTTCCCCCGGCTGAGCAGGGTGAGCCAGTCCTGGCATTCCTGGAGAAGAGAGAACTGGGGAGCTGGAAGGGGTTGGGAATCTCCCTTTGCCGACAGAAAAACATCCACCTAAAACCTTTCACTGCCACTTTCAGATCCGGCTGCGAGCCGAGCATCCACAGCACATCCCCTCTTCACCTCCAGCTGGACAAACTCCCAGCAGACAGACAGACAGACAGAATTCGGAGCCATAAATGGGTGCATCCGATCCCCCATTCCCTCCCTCGCTCCTGGCATTCCCTGGGAAGGGGGAATTCCTCCCAGCACTTACTCTGGCCGTACTGGCCGTACTGGTAGCCGGCCACGGGGTCCACGCTGTAGCTGGTGGTGCTGTAGGTGGGGGGACAGTAGGACTGCGAGGTCGGCAGGCTCTCCACGGATTTGATGGAGTCGCTGCGCTGGCTGCAGCTGGCCGAGATGGAGTTGGTGCTGTCCAGGCCGCCGTGGAGGGGAGAGATGGAGAAATCGGCCTGTGGCTGCGGTGGGACCCCGCTGGGGTTGCTCAGGATGCTCATCACCTGCAGAGACAGCGCGGGGAGCGTCAGGGGATGCAGAGAGGACACAAAAGAGGAGTTTTGGGATGGACAGCGGCCCAAACGGGGCGGAGAGCCCAGCTCTGAGCCCACCAAACCCCGCCGGCAGCCCCGGGGCTCCCCTCGGAACCTTGGCGTTTTTTGGGGATATTTTGCTGCCCTGCCAGGGATGAGCAAAGGGGTCGGGGAAAAGCAGGAGGGCGAAAAAAAAAAATCACAGTTTTCCCAAAGGGACGGTGAGGACAGCCCCGTCCTTGGGAAGTCGGGTTTGCAAAGGTCCCCAGGCAAAGCAGATCAAACCCTCGCTGGCTTTGATGCAGCTTCAGGGGATGAAATGTCCGAGTTCTCTTTGCCCCCAGATGTTAAAGGGTAACAGGTCCGGCTCGTTTCAGCGCTCGGTTGGAAAATGTAATTTAATTTACACACACAAAAAAAAATCTTCCTGCTTTGAGACCTGAACCAGATGAACTAATTGGGTTTTTTGTTGATGTTTTGGGGTTTTTTTTTCAGTTTTTAATGTTGTTTTTTTTTCAGCGAAAATGCCCGATTTGTTCCCGGGGCTGAGCTGGGGGTGAGGCTCTGCCCTTCCCCGCCAGGGATCAGCAGAATTTCCCCCGGGTAATTCCGAGTTAAAGGTGGAAAGGGTTCGCAGGGGAAGGGCCGAGAGGTTCCTGAAGCCTCTCGGTGGTGTCGGAGCCTCCGCGGGCTGGGGCGGGGGGAGAGGGGACAAGGGACGGTCACCTCGGGGGGCCCGGCCGGCGCTCAGATGCCGAGCGGCTCCAAATCTCCGAATTTAGCATAACCTCATTGACATCAATTAAAGTGGCAAATTGGAAATATTTGGAGCCTGGCAAGTGGTAAAATGAGCCCTTTATCCGCCAGCAGCGGCCTGGTGAGCTTTTGTGCCTGGGCTGCATTCTCGGGAAGGACACCGGGGGGGTTTTTATGGGGCTGAGGGTCCCCTTCCTGCTCACCCCGACACCTTCCCGACCCCTCCTCCCTGCCCGAGCGGGCTCTGGGGTGAGCGCCCAGCCACCAGCTGCCTCTGCTCCCTAAAGCATCTGCCAGGATGGAAATTCCACCCCCGGCTCCGCTCCCGGAGCAGAATTTGTCCGGGAATTCGGGAGCTGGGGGTGGGTGGAAGGAGCCCCGCCGAGGAGGGGAGGGGGTTGGTTAAAATCCAGGAAAATCCATCGAACCCCCAGCTCGGGGCTGAGCTGGGGTGTGGGGATGGGGCACGGGAATGGGGTTTGAGCGAGGGGAGGGCTCGTTCCTCCCCAGTCCCGGGCTCACTGACCCCTCCTCCTCCTCCTCCTCTTCCTCCTCCTCCTCCTGGCTTTCCACCCTGCACTGAGCTCAAACTCCTCTGCTGCTCCCCAAAAGTTAAACCCGGCTCAGCTGTCTGCACGGCGAGCTTAGCCAGAGCCTCGGTGGTCTCCCCGGAGCCTCGGTGGTCTCCCCGGAGCCTCGGTGGTCTCCCCAGAGCCTCCATCGGCTCCCCAGAGCCTCCGGGCACAGCTCGAGGCAGGGATTAAATCCCGAGGTGCCTCCATGGAAATGTTCAGCCCTAAAAATGTTCCCGCGCCAGCACTGGGGGACGAAGAGAGGGAATTTAATCCTCAGGAGAATGGATCCATCCAGGGCTTGGGGTGCTGAGCTGTCCCGGGGGTGGAACCCCCGAATCCCCTCGGTTGAGGGCTGGAGCATCCCCTGGGCTGGAGGAGCCGGATCCGTGTCCCGAGGGACACCCGGGAGCCCCCGGGCACGGCTGCTGTGAGTTCACCAGCAGAACCCCGTGTTTAAAACAATAAACACGCGCGGAAAACGCAGCCCCGGGGACCCTGAGTTATTCCTGGGATGCTCTGCCCTTTCTCCTCGCCCTTCCTGAGCTGTCCAGGCCTGGAGGTGCTGCCTGGCTGGGGATGTGAGCCCGCCCAGCCCTGCAGGTGCAGGGAGGATTCCCTGGAAAGCGGAGGGGGACTGGAATCACTCAGGGAGCAGCGGGGTTGGTGCTTCTCTCCCTCCTGGCCACGGCCCCGCAGCTCCTCAGATGCTTTTTATTACCCCGAGCAAAGGAGCGGCTCCCCAGGCCAGCGAGAGCCACATTAACACTTCCTTTGGGGGGAAAAAAAGGGGATGTAAAGCAAGGCTGGAAAATGAAAGCCAGATTCGCACTCCAAATTCAGGGAGCGGGGCAGATGCTTCCACAAACCCTGCTGGAAAAAGGAGCTGGATTTGGTCGCTGGGAATCAGGAGCGGTTCCTGATCTCGGCTCTGGCCCTGGAGTCACTCCAGGCTGGTCCTGGGGTGTTCCCAGTGCCTGCTCCCCCTCGGGAATCCCTGCAGGGGATCTGAGGGATCCCTCTGGGAAGGATGGGCTGAATTTCCCTCTGGAATTCCATCAGGATCACTGGGATTCCCTCCCAGCCCTGCCGGCGTGGGGAACAGCTGCGTGGCCAGGCAGAGGCTGGGGATCCATCCCAGCTGGATGTTCCCATGGATCTGGGGTGGCCGAGGGGGCCCTGAGAGCTCAGCAGAGCCCCAAAGCTCTCCAAGAACCACGGGAAGCGCCTGCCCTTCCCAGACAGGCTGAGGGGATTTGGGGCCAGGAGCCCCTGCCCTCCTTGGACAGGCTGAGGGGATTTGGGGCTGGGAGCCCCTGCCCTCCTTGGCCAGGCTGAGGGGGATTTGGGGCCAGGAGCCCCTGCCCTCCTTGGACAGGCTGAGGGGATTTGGGGCCAGGAGCCCCTGCCCTCCTTGGACAGGCTGAGGGGGATTTGGGGCCGAGCTCCCTGAGCTCTGCACAGGTTCAGCCGAGGACAGATCCATTTCCTCACCCCAGGACACGAAGGTGTTTGGAATAACGAGAGAGAACCGGAGATTCTCGTTCCCTCCTTGCCACCCAGCACGGAAAACCCCGCAGAGCCCTCCCGGGCCTGCTTCCCCTGACTTCTTATTTCAGCTGGAAAAACTCATTTTCCAGGCCACTTTTGAACTCCAGATCCCCTCCTCAAGAATGCAAAGTCCTTCTCCCTTTCCTCTCTGACCTTGCCGGCTTGTAATTTATTACTTCTTGGTGCATTAATCATCGCTAACTAAAAATCGATACCCACTGCACATCTGCCGGGGTTTATCTGCGGGGGAATCTGCTCGCTGTCCATCAGCAGGACTGACAGCCGTCCCTTTCCCTCCCTCCCTGTCCTCCCCCCTTCCCCCTGGCCCAAATCTTGGGGCCAGGAGCTTTTCCCGAGGTCACCTTTGGGGTGGGGACGAGCGGGGAGAGGTCCTGGAGCGTCGGGGGTTGATGCACAAAGAC